AGCAGTGTAAGCATCTTTCCTTTGGAGATAACATTTCCCCTAGCCAACGCAAGTTTTAATTATCATTTTTGGTTCCTGAGGTCTTGTTATTTAATGATCTCTGTCCATATTTATTTTGATTTATTTTCCTTGCATTTCATTGTGATTCTTGAGTTGGTTTGGTTTCTTTTTTATCACATCAAGAAAATTTTCAGGACCTGGCAGTGTGGCCTAGTGGCTATAAGTCCTCACCTTGAGTGCACTGGGATCTCATATGGGCACTGGTTCTAATCCCGGCGGCCCCACTTCCCATCCAGCTCCCTGCTTGTGGCCTGGGAAAGCAGTGGACGACGGCCCAAAGCCTTGGGACCCTGCACCTGTGTGGGAGACAGGAAGAGTTCCTGGCTCCTGGCTTAGGCTCAGTGCAGGTCTGGCCTTTGTAGTCACTTGGGGAGTGAATCATCGGATGGAAGATCTTCCTCTCAATCTTTTCTCCTCTCTCTATATATCTGACTTTGCAATAGAAATAAATAAATCTTTAAAAAAAAGAGAAAATTTTCAGCCATTAGTTTTTCAAGTATTTCCTGTTACAATCTCTCTTCTTTCCTTCTAGTAATCTAATCAAACATGTGGTAGAGTTATTTATTCTCTTAAATACTTATCTCCTTCAATCTTCATTTGTCTTCCCTCTCACAAATTCTCTCTTTAGCTATAGATTTTCTGGAATATCTATATAGTGCTTGATTTTAGTGTTTTTTCTTTTTTTTTTTTTTTAGATTTTTATTTATTTTTATTGGGAAGTTAGATATATACAGAGGGGAGGAGAGACAGAGAGAAATACGCTCCACCTGATGATTCACTCCCCAAGTGACCGCAATGGCTGGTGCTGCGCCGATCTGAAGCCAGGAGCCAGGAACTTCCTCCAGGTCTCCCACATGGGTGCAGGGTCCCAAGGTTTTAGGCCATCCTTGACTGCTTTCCCAGGCCACAAGCAGGTAGCTGGATGGGAAGTGGGTGCTGCTGGGATTAGAACCGGCGCCCATACGGGATAATGGTGCATTCAAGGCGAGGACTTTAGCCATTACTCCACAGCGCTGGGCCCCAGTAATTTTTCATTTCTCGAATATCTAGTGTTTTTGTCAGATTTATTAGCTTCCACTTTTCTGCTCAAATTTTTAGTCTTGTCTCCTTGGGCATAGTGAGACTAGTTACACTGTGTGCTGTGTCTGATAATTCCACTCTGTAGAGATCTGATGTGACTACTTCTATTGTCTGCTGTTTCTCTTGGCTTTTGTTTCTGTTGTCTACGCATTGAGCAATCTGTGACTGTGTGCTAGGCACATGGCTAACAGTATTGAGAAACAGGATTGCTTAGATGTGTTATCCCATTTCATGAGGATTCTCATTTGCTTCTGCCAGGGATCCTGGAACACTAACAGCATGCATTTTCTAAATTTATTAAGATTTCGATCAGTAGATGACGTGAAACTGGTTGCCAACCATCTGAAAGATTGACTTCCTTGGTGTGTTTTTTTCAGAATCACAACCCAAAGCATGCATTAGGCCTCAATGCTTTTCCTCTCGTTTGCAACACTATCAACAGCATCGCTCAACTTTTCAGCGTTTTTTCACAAATAGCAAAATTTTCTAACGCAAGAAGTCCTAAAAAAGGGACTTGATTCTCTAAGTTTTGCTTTCCTTCTCTATCTTTAACCACGAATTAATTCTTTCTTTACGGTCCCCAGTATTGTTGCTGTTGATTTAACTTGGGAAGCAGAAATAGAGACCTCATGTGCTGGTCTACTTCCCAAATGTCACAACAGTTAGGGCTGTGTCGGGCTCAGGTTGGCAGTTAGGAACCCAACCCACGTCCCCCGTGCGAGTGGTAATTCCTTGAGCTATCCCTTTGCCTTCCCCCCATGATCTGCATTAGCAAGAAATGGTAAAGAGGGATTTCAAACTGGAATCTTCACCACTTAACTGCCATGTCAAAATGCCTGCACCAGCTTCCAAAGTAAAGTTTCATTCGCCTCTTACATAGTATTCCTCAGCACATGGCTATTCCAACATTTCTACTTACTGCTGGCAGTGGAAATGTCGTTGTCCAAATTTAGGAGATTATTTTTCTTATAATCTCCTGGCAGCTTGTTTTGAATTCCTTTGGGAAATGTACATGGTTTTATTTTGTTTATTAAAAAAGCTGGAGCGGGTGAGAAAGCGGATAGGGAGATGGAGTGAGTCAATCTTCCACTTGCTTGTTCACTCCCCAAATGCCTGCCACGGCCAGGTCAGGGTCAAGCCAAAGTCAAGAGTATGGGACCCCATCTGGGTCTTCCACACAGGAGGTAGGGACCCACATACTTGGGTTATCATCTTCGGACTTTTAGACACATTAGCAAGTAGCTGACTGGAAGCAGAAGTGAAACTTGGTCTCAGGCACTCTGATGTACGACGCAGGTGCTCCAAGCAGAGGCTTAACGTACTGTACCACAATCATAACTCCCAAACACCACTTTTTGGAGACAAATTTCACTAAGCTATTGATGCAAGTACTTTCGGCAGTGTGAATAATGGGCTAAAATTTTGTGTGGACAATTCATGAAAAATTTGTGTAAGATCAATATGTACTCTGAATCCTGAGGTAAATATGACTTGATATTTGCCTACCAAAAAGTTAAAAGGAGGGCCAGCATTATGGCATGGCAAGTTAAGGTCCCACCTGCAGTGCTGGCACCCCATGTGGGTGCTAGTGCGAGGCCCAGCTGCTTCTCTTCTGCTTAAGCGCCCTGCTGATGCACTTGGGAAACAGCTGGTGGTGGCACAGATGTTTAGGTCCCCTGCACTCACGTTAGAGATCTAGAGGAAATTCCGGGCTCCAGACTTCAACTTGGCCCAGCCCTGGCCTTTGCAGCCATTTGGGGGGTGAGTTAACAGATGGAAGACATCTCTCCTTCCAACTTTGTCTTTTGAATAAACTTTAATAATCTTTCAATAAACAGAGGTAATAAGGAGGGCCACGCATGGTGCTGAAGTAGGCTAATTCTCAGCTTGGGACACCTACATCCTATATCAAAGGGCCTGAGATAAAGAATTTCATCTCTGTTTCTGATGCAGCTTCCTGAAAATGTGCGTGGGAGGCAGCAGATGGTGGCCCAAGAGCTCAGGGTCCTGCTACTCCTAGGAGAGATCAGAATAGAGTTTCTGATTCCTGGCCCTGACCTGGCCAAGCTCTAGCTGTTGGGGGGCATTTTGGGAATATACAAGTGGGTAGATCTCTAGTTGTTCTTTTGTCTCTGTTTCTTTTTATTATTATTATTAATTATATTGTCTTTTTTTTTTTTTTTAAGATTTTGAAAGACAGAGTTACAAAGAGAAAGGCAGTGACAGGGAGAGAGGTCTTCCATCTGCTGGTTCACACCCCAAACAGCAACAGTGGCAAGAGCAGTGCCAGTCCAAAGCGGGGAGCCGGGAGTTGCTTTTGGGTTTCCCCCGTGGGTGCAGGGAGCCGTCCTCTGCTGCCTTCCCAGGCCATCAGCATGGAGCTGGATCAGAGTTCTAGCCAGACTACAACTCTATCCGTCACAGGATGCTGTCAGAGGATTAGCCTACCCCCTTTCTTTTCCTTGTTTTTTTTTTTTAATAGTAAACAGATATAACTTTCTTGAATTGTTTCCTTCAGGTTTTGAATATTTGAGGCACAAAACTATTTCCTTAAAATGCTCATTTGTGAATAGTTACTTGTCATGGGAGATTAATCATTGACCTTGTGATAATTAACTGATTTCACTTCATCAATTTGTTGTAATTAACACAACCGGTATTAAGAAAAACCTGTGGGATTCCTTTAAAATTAAGAACATAATTAAAGCAATTTCTGGCAAAGAAATTATTTTATTTTACATATAAATGGACTCCAACAGATTAATTTGAAAATCCCACGAGTGGGTATCAGTTTGGCACAGTTGGGTTTTTCAGGCTGCTGGAATGCTGTTGCTTTTAAATATTTGTTTTAGCTTCAGTCATTGGTGAGTCATTACTCTTAATAGGAAGTTTCCCTAAGTGCTTGCTCAGAAGTGGTCTCCCTACGGCGGAGGGGTCGGAGCGGGCAAGCAAACCCACGCGCCCTGGTCAGCAGCGCCTCCCCGGGCACCCAGCCCCACGCCCCTCCGTGCTGCTGCCCAGCCTTCCTACACACACTCCCCCGAGCCAGGCAAAACTTGGGACTTGCAATTCCCGGCTTCAAACCTATGGAGCCTGCGGTCTAGGCACAGGTGATTTTTTTTTTTCCTTTCTTTCTTACTCTACGCCTAATTTTTCCTTGCCTTTAAAAGAACAACCAACTCTAAATGCTGACACTAACCTGGAGGGTTTAGCCAAGTACTTGGCCATGGCACGTTTCCTAATCAATGTCAACTTTGCTTATCTTTTATGCCCTTGGAGATACATCTCCCTTCCTCTCCTCGCCAATTAACTAGGAAAATCTATTAGCCTTCAGGTGCACTGAAGGGGGCGGGGGCAGGCTTGATTCATTCCACTTCAGAAATGGAGAGTATTATGTGGCTTTCCGTTCCAAATTTAAAACCTGCAAGGATTCCGTTCTAAACAACAAAACAAAACTCATTTGTACCTCCTCCTTCCCCAATTTCTCTTCAGGATTCTGCTTCGGCTCGAACTCCCGGGGCTGCCGTCTGCTCCCCTCTGGGAGAGCAGGGTTTTTTTGGGGTGGAGAAGAGGATCGTATTTAGGGCTGTAGCTTCCCAGGAAGGTCCAGCATCCCTGAGGAAAACTTGGCCGGAAGGGGCACGCCCCAAGCGTGGCAGAGTTGGCGCCGACTTCTAGAAGGTTCCCTCGGGACCCGACGCGCCTGACGGCCCCGACCAACCGGGAGGGGGTCACGTGACCCGGCGCCGGCCGCACGCGCCCAGGGTCACGTGGGAGGCGCGGGCGCGCACCCCGACACCCACAGGAGGGGGCGGGGCCGGAGGCTGGGCCTCCCGTGAAGCCTCGCGCGGGGATGGACCGGAACTCCGGGCGGGCGGCTTGTTGATAATATGGCGGCAGGAGCTGCCCGGGCATCTCGAGGAAGCGGTGGGGCCCACACCCGGAAGAAGGGTCTTATTTCTGACTAGTGCAGCGGCCCCTGCGGGCCCGGAAGTCCCGGCCGCTTGACTGAATGAGGGGAGCCGGGCCCTCCCCGCGACAGTCCCCCCGCACCCTCCGCCCCGACCCGGGCCCCGCCATGTCCTTCTTCCGGCGGAAAGGTAGCTGAGGGGGGGCGCCGGGCCGGGCTCAGGGGCGGCGGTGGGGCAGGTGGGCCTGCAGGGGCGTCCTGCTGCAGGGCGCCAGGGTGCTGGGCTCGCTAGCAGGCTCGGCGCAGACGCCCCCGAACGCCTCCCTCTGCAAGGTGGCCTCCCAGCCGCGAGGTCAGGGCGCAGTGGTCGAGCTCGTCCCCCCCGCCCCCCAAGTTTGTCTGCTGGAACCCGTGCAAGTTACTGCTGTGGCTTGCTTAGGAGCATCCCTTTGGATGTGGTATTTTTTGGGGGGGGAGCGAGTGGGGGAGTCTGTGGCTCAAGATCAGGGACGCCCCCTTGAGTGCCTTATTTCGGAATTCGGCCGGCTTTTCCGAATCCTGACGGTTTTCAGTGTAAAAGCAACACCTGGGAAAGCTGGTGTCTCCAGCCAATACTGTTTTCCAGTGTCCTCATTGGGGTGAGGGGTGGAAGGGAAATTGCGGTTTCTAGAATAAAATTAACTTGCTGATAAAGTTCTGCTAAGGAGGAAGCTTACTTCTTTTTGATGACTTAGCAAGTTTCGTAACCTCCGGGGAACCCTAATTGCGGGTAGGAGTGAGTGACTTGTTTGGTTTTCGGTTGTAATAACTGCCCCCATTCTGAAGTTTGATTTTAAAGCAGCTTGTTGTTGGCACTGGGTACGGTGGTAGATTGCATGAACAGCACAGCTCCAGAGTGAAGGAGTTTGTGGCTGACAGTGCTTGCTTGTATCACTATGGACCACGGGGAAAACCACATTTTTTGAGAAAAGCACTAAATCAAACTGCATTCACGTGACACCCTAGTCCCTGTCTCACCTGCAGCAAGCCACTTTACCCATTTCTCTCACTCTCCCAACTCCCGCCTGGCTCAAGAATTGCTATTTAGGCAGGTGTAGGGTTTAGTAGCTCACGGTGGTTAGGTGATGAATGAATGAAACTGGCAGAGTGGTAGGAGCTGGGTTAGTACGGGATGTGGACGCATGGGTAATAGCCCTCTCATTGGTTTGATGTTGTTGAAGTGTTTAGCTTGCTTTTTTCCCCCTTTTTAAGTGTAGGAAGTACTCGGTGTAATAGGGGCGGTCACACGAGATATCTGAGGACCTGTGTTTTGCAAGGCACTGCGCTGGTTCCCCACAGTTAACTAGTAAGCAAGACAAAGGACCTCCCTGCACCCGCAGAGTTTATCGGCTGTTGAGTATACAGGCAGTAAGCAGGTGTGTGTGTGTGTGTGTGTGTTTGTGTGTGTGTGTGTATGTATATGTATGATATATTTGGAAACTGATTAAGGTGTGATCAAGGAGAAACAATACTTCTGTTGCATGTTATGAAAAGGGCCTCTGCAGGTGACCTTGAGGCTTGACTCTGAAACATCAGCAGGTGGTGCCTTGAGGAAGATCAGGGAAGAGTCCCGTAGGTGAAACAGGTCCTGAGTTGATACCCTCTGGGAAGGGGAAGGATTACGGCCCCACCTGGGCAGAGAAGTCAGCCAGTATCAGATGATGGAAAGGTTTTAGATCATGGGTAGGTTTTGTTCCAAGTTCAGAGAGACTATATTTAAAAATGTTTAAAGTGGAGTGATCTCATTTCTGTGTTTAAAAATAAGATGTGTCTGGGGTGCTTTTTTGGAGGTGCAAGGTGTGGCAAAGGTGGAAGCTTTAAATACCTGCCGCGCACTGATGGTTATCCGCCCAGTATACATCTCCAACTTGGATCCTCAAGTTTAGATTGACCCAGCCAACTGTTGGTCTAATTTATTACCCCCAACTTGAGTCCTTGGAAACCTGTTCATCCGGTTTGGGAGGCTGTGAGTGAAGTGCTCAGGCCGACATTGTAGTGTAGCCCTCAGCCCTCAGTGGTTCCTCCTGTGGGTCTGATCAGTCAGGAGAGCTGCACCTGCTGAGACACATCACCCTCCTTACCATCCCTGACTTCAGCGCCTTCCACTAGCGCTTAGGAAAGGGAGCTCATTCAGGGCACGGGTGTCTGCAGGGGAGCCGGCTCTAGGAAGATTGAGGAAACGGCATGCTTTTGCCATTTCCGTTTGGCTTCCTTCCCCTTCTTGACCCCCGTGATAATGTTTTCAAAGTGAATGCGTGGAAACAGACCAGGGAAAGTCCTAAGCAGTTGGAGAAGGATGAACTAGACAGTAAAAGATGTTGGTTATCCATCTGTAAAAGAAGGAAATAATTACATTTCCCGTATCCTGCCATACACATTACAAGTCAGGGAGGTTTTATTTGAGTGGGCCTGCTGATTATTTTAAATAGGCTTTCCAGGCCAGATGGTTTCTGTCACACACTCCTTTATCTTTGTGGCTGCAGAAAGCATGTAAACAGATGGGTGTGACTGCACTACAGTACAACTTTATTTGCCGAAGACTGATGTTAGGTTGGATTTGTTGTGGAAAACAAAACCTAAAATTATATAGAAAATGTAGTGGGGAATTCTGATCTCGGCATAGGAAAGTTGTAAAATCTAGTAAAACAAGAAGGGCCGGCATTAGGGTGCAGTGGGTTAAACTGCTGCTAACGGTGCTGGCAGCCTGTGTTGGAGTGCTGGTTTAAGTTGTGGCTGCTCCTCTTCTGGTCCATCTTCCTACTAAGCTGGCTAGGAAGAAGATGGGAAATGACCCAAATGCTTGGGGCCCCCGGGCCCAGGATGGAGTTTCTGACTGAGTGCTTCAGCTTAGCCCATTCCTGGCTCCTTTAACCACTGGGGAGAGAAAAGTAGATGGAAGAGATCTTGCCTCTTTCTCCCCAACTTTTCCTGTCTTTCTGTCTCATGCTGTACCTTTCAAATAAAGAATTGAATAAACTGTTAAAAACACAGGAAAATGGAATCCATGTAGTTCATTTGACTACATTAAAAAGTAACACGATAAAATATGCTTAAGATACTCCTAACACAGACAGTGAACTATTGGTTTCTAGAATGTTTATATAATTTCTTTAAGTAATGAAGCACAAAGTAGGTGAGAGGGGACTTTATGAAAGTGCAAACCTAAATGGTCAATTATTTTGAAAGAAAGTTTAACCTCAAGGGAAGTAAGGGGGTGAATGTGAAACATCAAATAGCATTTCCAAACTACTAGACTGGCAAAAATTAGAACTTCTGAGGATGAGATTATAAAGCTTATTGGTATAGTCATTTCCATTAAGTATGCACACAATTTGTTATCTGGCATTTGCATTTTTAGGACTTTGCCTTAGAGAACTTACTGCATATCTATCTATCTATCTATCTGTCTATCTGTCTATCTATCTATCTATATACACATGAAGATTTACTCGAATTAGAATAAAGTAAATGTTTATTAATAAGGATGTGAATTAAGGTGTATTCAAAAAGGAACCCAACAGCTAAAGTGAATAAACTAGAGCTAAAGGAATGAGCTAGAACTGAAAGGGTGTCAAGAAGACTTGCTGTTTCGGCTAGTGTTTATCTCTGTCAAAGGAAGGGAAGCCCTGGAGTCATTAGAGATTCAGAGGACCCTCAGCTGTGGAATACACAGGGAAAAGCAAACTGCAGTGTTTGAAACCATCTGATTGGTGGGAGGACGCTGTGAAGGTGGACTCAGTTGGTCTTCAGTTTGTGTGTGACAAGGTATCAAGGATGACTCAGTTTGGCCTGATCCCTGATGATGGTGTCTTCCTGGGAAGATAAAGGCTGAGGTAGGGCCAGGACTGGGAAACAGAAAAATGGCACCAGGGTGGCCGGCTGTATGACTAGGAGGTTAAAAAGATTTAGAGTGGAGGTTAAGTGAGTAAATACATCACAGCATATATGTAAGGTCGGATCATCCAGGAACTATCCATGTGTGATATATCTAGAGTGAAAAGAAGAGGGGCCCATCATTGTCCTGGAGTTGAGGTCAGGAAGGGGTCAGCAGATCGGGGACAGGCTAAGAAGCCAGGAGATTGGGGGGACATAGTGGAAGCTCAGCTGAGGTCCTGCTTCCAGCCAGTGCAGTCAGCCTGCCAAATTTCCATGTTTGCTGTTGGCGATGCGGCCAGCTCTGGGCCCCCGAGATGTCCTCACTTGATGCCTTCCTGTTTCACCTCCGCGTTCTTCAGTGTAGGTTTTGCGGAGGACGGGAGCGGCACACACGATGCCCTGTAGTAGTAGTAGTTGTGCAGTGAGCTGCTCTGACAGCCAGTCATTGCCTGCTTCTGGCCTTTTGCCTTTCACCTGTCAGTATTGAAGAGTGCAAGCAGAGAGGTGGGCAAGCTTGGGGATTGTTTAGTTTGAGGGCTTGGGGATTAAAGGAAGTGTAATATTGCAAGAAAGGCCAGGAAAGTAGAGAGGGTTAAAACTCCCCTCAGGTCAGATCTTATGCTAGTGTTCACGCGTGAGTTCAGCTGCCTTGCACCTTCCTTCCCTGGGTGTTAGATTCGAGCTTATATGCGGAAGTTTCACTCTTTTGTAAAAATAGGGTTTTGTGTGTGGTCATTTCAGAGACAAGTTACTAAGCCTGAGTGCTAGAAGTTTACAGTGATGCCACTGGAGCGGGGGTTAAACAGGGAGTCAGGTGATAACACAGCTGAAGTACTCTTTCTCTACCGTATTTCTAATAGCCGGCAATAATGTTAACATTTATCCTGAAGTTCTTCAAAGTTACTGTGCTATTTGTACCCTTTACAATGTTGTTTTTTTCCTCCTAATCAATTCTGAAGAGTAGACCAAGTTGTATAAGCCAAGGCAATTAAGACTCAAAGCAGTAAAGTATCTTGTCCAAGATCACTTGATTAATAAATGAGAACGCCATGATTTGAACCCGGCTTTTGTGACAGCACTGTCTCCACAAGCGCTCCTGATGAGTGCCCTTGACTGAGTGCCCTGCGAAGGTCACTTCCTTGGAGAGCCGTCCCCAGATGACCTTTGCCGTCCCCTCCGAGCTGTGGATGCTTACTGTTAGCGTAACACTTACCTGAGTTTTGCAGTGCGGCTCTCTGATTGCAAAAGTTGGTCATAATGCCTCTTTATCTTGTAGTGAAAGGCAAAGAACAAGAGAAGACCTCAGATGTCAAGTCCGTTAAAGGTGAGTTCTGTGGCATTCCATTACACGAAACAGTTGTGTGTCTTGCATTTATGAGCTCTTTAATCCTGTTGCCCTGTCCTTTCTCTTGGCATTAATCTTCTCTGCCTGCTTTTGTAACTATAATTGTGACGTTTCCCTCTTTATCTTGTATGCTCTGTAATACCTGATATGTCATGAGCTTGTCACTTTCCCAAGATTGATTTATTTGGGAGGCAGAGTGGCAGAAAGGGAGAGTAGAAAGAAGGGGAGGTGGGAGGGAAAAAGAAAAATCGAGAGAAATCTCTGCTGCTCACAGGTTTACTTTCCACATGCTTGCAAGAGCCAGGAGCTCTGTCTGGATCTCCCAAGCTGGGGACAGGAACCCAAGGGGTTGGGCCGTCATCTGCCTGCTGGGCGCATGAGCAGGAAGCTGGGTCCTCCAGAAGGAAGCCATAGTGCAGGTGTCCCACGTGATGCTGTAACACACTGCCCAAGGCTTGCTGCACGTGACATTTTTACTGAGCTCTTGTTGGAACAGTGAATGAGTACCTTCCTTATTTATATGTTTGATTGTTTCCTAAAAGTTAGCTGACTTTATTTACTAAGACAAAAGACCAAATGAAACACTGGCACAGGAAAATATTCTGTCCAATGGTTCACTCCCCAAGTGAGCACAATGGCTGGGGCTGAGCCAATCCGAAGCCAGGAACCAGGAGTTCTTCTAGATCTCCCACACGGGTGCAGGGTCCCAAGGCTTTGGGCCGTCCTCAACTGCTTTCCCAGGCCACAAGCAGGGACCTGGTTGGGTAGCGGGGCAGCCGGAATTAGAACCGGCGACCATATGGGATCCTGGTGCGTTCAAGGCGAGGACTTTAGCCACAACGCTATCGCGCAGGGTCCAACGTGGTGTAGTTTTAACAAAGCTCTCTTCAGTCATTTTGAATTATTCATGTTAAGTGAATTATTACAAGAAGGTTAGAGGAATATGAAATTAACCAATGATTTCTGACATTTAGGAAAGACTTCCTGGAATTGAGTTAGGAGGACTTAGTGAAGCGGAGAGTTCTTTCTCTTTGCTCCAGCTCAGCTTAATTCTTTGCTGTATGTATCGGGCAGAGGGGTCTTTAGGCAAGTAAAGCATTTTACAGAAAAACTGAAATGAAATGACAGAGGGGCCACACAACCAGAAAAAGAATTGACTCAGTCAAAGCAGGAAGCCGCTTTAGGTGTTTGAGCACGGTACCAGCGTTGTGAGTTTGCTGTGTTTGTGAGAGATTAGTCTGGAACCTTTGTGCAGGTTGGAGACCTTATTAATTTGTGGTAATGCATCAGGACTTGCGCTAAAGATGTGTCGAAAATGAATGCATAAGGTGTTTATTTAAATACCTTGGCCTAGGTAGTACATTTTAGTATCTTGAAGGAAAAAAAAATAAAGAGAACTAAAAAGATACATTGATTAAGAATGGGACCAAGATTCTGAGCTTTGGATAGTGGTGCATTGAGCAGAGAGAGAGAAACTGAGTAGAAGATGGGGTTAAGTTTGTGTTTGGGCATGTACAGAGGCCTGGTCGGAGCCCAGGTCTAGGAGCAGGAGTGAGGTGGAGACGGGAGTTTTCCATCTGTGCTGCTGCGGTGTGGAGCTGGGGCTGGTGGCTGGCAGGCTGCACACCACGGCCTGGCAGAGCTGCCCCGGGCAGCCGGGGTGATGAGTTTATGTATTTTACGAGCATATCAAGGTATCAAAGTAAGTGTAGTTTACAGGAGCTTATAGCTTTTAAGGAAATGTCTATCATATTAGGTACGCATGATTTAGTACTTTTTAAAAAATATTTCTTTTGGGCCCGGCGTGGTGGCGCAAGTGGTTAAGTCCTCGCCTTGCACGCCCGGGATCCCATATGGGCGCCGGTTCTAATCCCGGCAGTCCCGCTTCCCTTCCAGCTCCCTGCCTGTGGCCCGGGAAAGCAGTCGAGGATGGCCCAAAGCTTTGGGACCCTGCACCTGTGTGGGAGACCCAGAAGAGGCTCCTGGCTTCGGATTGGCATAGCATGGGCCGTTGCGCTCACTTGGGGAGTGAATCATTGGGCGGAAGATCTTCCTCTCTGTCTCTCCTCTCTGTATATCTGCCTTTCCAATAAAAACATAATAAAAACAAATCTTTAAAAAAAAAATTTCTTTTTATTTGAAAGTCAGATATGATAGAGAGTGAAGTAGAGATACAGAGGTCTTCTGTCTGTTGATTAACTCCCCAGATGATGACAATGGCCAGAGCTGAGCTGCAATGCTGGGAGCCAAGAGTCTCTTCCGGGCCTCCACGAGGGTCCAGGCCTCCAAGGACTTGGGCCATTTTCTGCGGCTTTCCCAGATGCGTTAGCAGGGAGCTGGGTCAGAAGTGGAGCAGCCAGTATACAAGCCAGTGTTCAAATGATGCTGGCCCCACAGGGTAGAGGATTAGTGTAATGCACCCCCCAGAGGCCCCAAGTTACTGCTTCTAAAAGAAAAGCTGGAGGAGGGGCAGATTTGCACAACCTAACATATTATATTTTCATATACGTCTACTTATGATGCAATTAGAAAGTCTCACCATTCCCATGGGGTCTTATTTTTAACTTAGTGTTTGTTGAAGAAAATTAGGTTTTATTTATACACTTGCTGAAGTGATTTTGCTCCCTTCAGTTTACCATGGAAATAAAAATAAGCTGCCTTTAGGAACAGCATGGTGGTCCAGCAACTAAAGTCCTTGCCTGCCACACACTGGGATCCCACGTGGATGCCTGTTGGTGACCCGGCGGCCCCACTTCCCATCCAGCTCCCTGCTTGTGACCTGAGAAAGCAGTCAAGGACGGCCCAAAGTCTTGGGGTCCTGCACCCGTGTGGGAGACCTGGAAGGGAGCTCCTGGCTCCTAGCTTCAGATTGGCTCAGCTCCAGCCATTGCAGCCACTTGGGAAGTGAACCAGTGGATGGAAGATCTTCCTCTCTCTCTCTCCCTTCCTCTCTATGTAGTTGACTTTTCAATAATAATAAAAATCTTAAATTGTGTATATAAAAAAATAAACTGTCCTTTAAAGCTGAATACATTGTTTGAATGCATTTACTCTGCATTCTGTAGTTCCCACAGTTCCTGTTCTGCGGTCCATTTAGGTACCTGGGAAGTGGGTGTGAGCCTTCACCTTCCTACCTGCTTTACCCTGTGGACACGACTCGAAGAGTCACAGACTGAGCCCCAGAGCTCTGTTCTGTATGAGAAGTGTTACCGAGTGTTGGTTGGGGTTTCTGCATCTGAAACTGCTGAGGTTGGGAAGGCTTACTAGGAAGTAGATGTCTGATTGCTCGAGAGAGTTTGAGTGTTAGCAGACACACGTTTAGACACCCGAGAATATCTTACAGTAGAATCCTTAGTGACCTGTCTATATTTTTTGCTCTAGCAGTGCACTGAGCCAAAAAAAAAAAAGTTGAACTCTTTAATAATAGCATTGATACTAGTGTAGGATAAACAGGATAGGTAGGGTCCTAATTGAGCCGAAGCAGCAGGCTCCTAGGATGGCTTTTGCTGTGATATTGTTACTACTGCCTTCTTTGTTCTGAAGTCCAAAGGACAATATTTCTTCCTTAGACTACTAAAAAAATGCATAGGTTGTTGAGTGTGCACTATCTTTAAGTGGCTTAAACATCACTGTATTTTATTTGATGGCCTACTTTTGTTATTTATTTAAGAAATAATCTGTGAACTATTTTTAGTCCTCCCCCCCCCACCCCCCCAGGCAGTAATTCTGCTGCTTTAGCTTTGTTTCTGAGGCAAGCAAGGATCAAGGAATTGAAAGGAGCCCACACTGCAAAATACTTTCTGGGTTTGGTACTTGGTACTTTCTGTTCTCATTAGTTCTCAAAGCCAGAACTGTTTAAGTTCCATTTTTGAAAGTTATGGTGCTAGGATTTTTTTTTTCCCCCTGTTGCATGATTAAATTACCTTTCCTAAAGTGTTTTATTTTTATTGGGTATACTATTAAGCGGTATGACAAAATATAGTTTTTGAAGTTCTCATAACTTTTTTTTAATGAGAGTTTTGGACCATTAAATTGTGTTTAATTTTTAATAATTTTTTTGAAAAATTATAGCTTCAGTATCTGTACATTCCCCACAAAAAAGCACTAAGAATCATGCCTTGCTGGAGGCTGCGGGACCAAGTCATGTTGCCATCAATGCCATTTCTGCCAACATGGACTCCTTCTCCAGTAGTAGGACGGCCACCCTCAAGAAGCAGCCGAGCCACATGGAGGCCGCTCACTTCGGAGACCTGGGTAAGTGACCCCCACTCTTTGTTAACTTGCTGTTTTAGAGGATACTTACTAAGGGATTTATTTATTTCAGAGGCAGAGTTTCAGAAAGTGGAGGAGAGACAGAAGAGCAAAATGGGTGTTATTCTGGTTTACTCTGGAAATGGCTGTAATAGTCAGGGCTTGGCCACACCAAAACTAGGAGCCAGGAACTCTATCTGACTCTCCCACATGGATGAGAAGGACCTGAGCACTTGAGTCAGCTGCTGCTGCCTTACCAGGCACGTTGACAGGAAGCTGGGTCGGAAACAGAGAAGCTAGGACTCGAACCAATAGTGGTCGGAGATGCTGCTGTCACGAGCGACAGCTCAACCTTTTGACTCCCAGAGCTGCCCGCTGGGAGGAAGATTCTGAACTATATAATTGGAGCGGACTTTGAAAAAAATGGATTTTAACTAAAATAGTTGCACAGAGTTGTTTTGAATATACATATAGCATGTCCAGGAGTTAAATGAACAACTTCCAGAAGAAATACATTTGACAGTAAGTATGAATGTATGAGAATGATGCCTCACTTAACAAACGTTCAGGGAAATGTGATTTTAAATAGTTACTCCTTGGCACATGAACATGTATTTTTTTTTTTAAGATTTGTTTATTTTTATTACAAAGTCAGATATACAGAGGGGAGGAGAGACAGAGAGGAAGATCTTCCGTCCAATGATTCACTCCCCAAGTGAGCACAACGGCCGGTGCTGCGCTGATCCAAAGCCAGGAACCAGGAACCTCTTCCAGGTCTCCCACACAGGCGAGGGTCCCAAGGCCTTGGGTCATCCTCGACTGCTTTCCCAGGCCACAAGCAGGGAGCTGGATGGGAAGTTGAGCTGCCGGGATTAGAACTGGCGCCCATATGGGATTCCTGTGTGTTCAAGGTGAGGACTTTAGCTGCTAGTCCACGCCGCCGGGCCTGGCACATGAACATATTTAAAGTGTGATAATTTAATGTAAGTGTAGATTCAGGGGACATCCCCTCCCACTGGTAATAATGTAGATTGGTGAAAACGTTTTGTAAGGCAGTCAGTTCTGAAGGGCTTCTCAGAATATGTGCATGCCGTGTAGACAGCACTTGACTTTCTAAGGCCTGGCCCTCCAGTACGCTCGGACCTATGCCCACGTATGACAGCGGGTATAAGGCTGTTTGTCGTTATTATTTGTGGTAACTAAACACTGGGAACAACAGATATAAATGTCTGCTAATGGAGACATCATCAAATTGTGGTGTGTTCATACTCTAAATGCGGTACAGCCATTTTAAACTAAAGGAGGAGGAGATAGTTCATGTAACAGTTGAGGTGCCACTTGGGATATGTGTGTGCCTTACTGGAACGCCTGGTTCAAGTCCTGGCTCCTTCACTTCTGATCCAACTTTTTGTCTATGTCACCCTGGTGGCCAACTGATAATGACTTAATGCCCTGACACTGTGTTGGAATTCCAAGTTGAGTTCCTGGCTTCTGACTTCTCTGATCCAGCCTTGGCTCTTGGCAGATGTTTGGGGAGTGAAGCAACAGATGGAAGATCTCTGTTCTCTGTGCCTTTCAAACAAAATGAAAATAAAGTTTTGAAAAAGCCTTGAAAAAGCATCGGTTTCTACTTAACATATGTACATATTCAGATGTCAGAATGTGCAATATGTTCAGCGATATATTGCGAACAGTACATATTGGTCAGGAAGCATAATTGTAGGCTGCACTGCATCATTGTCACCTTGTTGCGTGTTCACACAGAACGTGCACACAGATGTTCAGAGCAGCTCGGAGCGAGAAACTGGAAATGCTTACAGGTGTCCATGCCATGGATTCCTGCTCAGCCAGTAAGGGAGCAGACTGTTGGATGGATCTCAAGGCAGTCATGCTGGCGGACAAAGGCCCAGATGACATATAGCACAAGTCCATTGCTGTAGCATTCTTACAGTGCCAGAACAGTCATGGTTTGCCAGGTCTGTAAAAGGATAAGATGAGAGAAATGGAATCTGCTTGGCATTTTCCTGGTGGCCGTCAGTACATGTGGTGAAGTTACCTAAACCAAGTACACACGTCAATACATAGAATTAAAGTGAATGAAATTGGTAGATTCTGTCAGTGTCAGTATTTCCATGGTGGTACAGCATCTCTCCATGGGAGAAGCTAAAAAGTACTTGGGATCGCTATACTCTTTTAAAATTTCATGTGGCTCTGCCATTTTTTTTTTTTTTTAAAGTTAGGGATTTAGGGCCCAGCACAGTAGCCTAGCAGCTCAAGTCCTTACCTTGCATGCACCAGGATCCCATATGAGTGCCAGTTTAATCCTGCTTCCCATCCAGCTCCCTGCTTGTGGCCTGGGAAAATGGTCGAGGACAGCCCAAAGCCTTGGGACCCCATACCCGCTTGGCAGACATGGAAGGGACTCTGGGCCCCTAGCTTTGGATTGGCTCAGCTCTGGCCGCTTCAACTGCTATGGGAGTGAATCAACAGATGGAAGCTCTTCCTCTCTGTCCTCCTCTCTGAGTATTTGCCTTTCCAATAAAAATAAATCTTTTTTGAAAATTAGGGGTCTAAAAGAAACTGTAAGACTGTAACTAAAAGAATGATAAATGTTGAAGTAAATATATTTTAAAATTTAGCTTCATTATTTTAAGATAAAATTCCAAGTCTCCTTTTATTATAGGTAGTGCTGAAATTCAAAAAATGTTTACAGCTATATTCACAATTTTTCTTCAGGAAGACTTATATAGGTCCCACGTCAGAGTCGCAGGGTTCAGTTCCCTTTCCTGGTTCCTGATTGCTGCTGTTGTAGATGCTGCGAGGCAGAGGGATAGCTCCATGCTTGGTTCCTCCCACCTCGTGGGAGACCTGGAGTCAGTTCCTGGCTCCCAGCTTCAGCATCTTGACTGCTGCAGGTGTTTGAGGCGTACACCAGCCAGTGATTCCAACTGTATAAGGCGAAAAAATCAGCTTGCCTGAATTTGCTTTTCTGGAACTTTTGAATATTCCAGAATATCCCTTCTTCTTTTTATTGACCTTTTTCTTTCTCTTAAAGATTTCTTTTTATTTATTTGAAAGAGTTAACAAAAAGAGAGTGGGAGAGAGAGAAATCGTGAACCCACTGGTTCACCTCTCAAATGGCCACAACAGGCAAGGGTGTGCCAGGCTGAAGCCAGGAGCCAGGAGCTTCATCTGGGTGTTCCATGTGGATGCAGGAGCCATCTCTCACTGCCCACCCAGGTGCATGAGCAGGGAGCTGGACTGGAAACAGAACAGCCAGGACTGGAACTGGTGCTGTAGTATTATGCGGGCATTGCAAGTAGAAGTTTATTCAAGACCTGTGATACAATTGTTGCTAAAAGTGAGAAATTAATTTGTTAATCTAAAATAATTTGTACTGAACTGTTAATTCCTTTGTTTCTGACTTTTAGGCAGATCTTGTCTGGATTACCAGACGCAAGAGACCAAATCAAGTCTTTCAAAGACCCTTGAACAAGTCTTACGTGATACTATTGTCCTTCCATATTTTATTCAATTCATGGAACTTCGGAGAATGGAACATTTGGTTAAATTTTGGCTGGAGGCCGAAAGTTTTCACTCTACAACCTGGTCCCGAATAAGAGCACACAGCCTGAACACAGTGAAGCAGAGCTCACTGGCTGAGCCTGTCTCTCCGTCTAAAAAGCAAGAAAACACAGCATCTTTTTCGACTGAGTCTCTTGACAAGAGATTGGAGGATTCTAGCTCAGCTCCACAGCTTATGACTCACTCAGAAGAAATTGACCTGAATGATAGAACTAATATCACCCAGAATCACTTGCTGCTTTCCGAGGAACGTGACAGTGTCCGTTCTCTTCAACTTGAAGTGACCAGAGCAGGGGCTCATCAAGCTTCTATAGAAGCCCAGGAACCCTCCTCCAGGCTTGTAGTTGTCAGTAGAAACAACCCCTCTTCTCCGTTGAAAGAATTGTCAGGAAAATTAATGAAGAGTAAGTATGTGATTTTCTGTTTCTTTTTAATTTTGAGTTCACGATGCAGGACTTTTTAAAATGAACAATAAAGGATTGCCATGCTTTGCCCACCTGCTCCTTCCTCTAACCACTTGCTAATTTGGAAAGATTTGGAGAGTGCAGTGGAATCCGATCAGGGCATGAAAAGCAGCAAGGGGGACATTTCCAGATCCTCTCAGGAATGTGGTAGGGGAATGGACAAAAGAAGTGTCCTGGTGCTTCTCCTTTTCACAGCTGTGGACGTGAAGCCATTGTTCTGATAGGTTTAATTCCTCCTTGGCTCGATCTTAATTTATAGTATTTTATTATAGTACATAATTTAAACAATTTTTAATTACCAATTGGTGATACTGAGTTTTGTGTTAAGTATACATGTGGGTTTCATATAATAGTCACAGCATCTCTATGAGATGGTGTTACATCCTATATTACACATGGGAAAAGCATGGCTTAGAAAGGTCAGTAACTTACCGTAACCAAGATTGTGCATTGAGAATTTTTCTTATTATTCATTTTCCTTGTTCTTTGTTTCTCAGAGGGTTAGTTGATTTCTTTAAACATGTTAATTTATTGGTTCTTCTCAAAATAGGTTTGAAATGCTATTGAATTGATCTTTAGCATTTTTTTTTAACGCTTATTTTTGATTTGGTGTACATCGTTAACAAGGATGCATGTTTATGAAGTCCAGTGGTTAGGGTGGGGAGTGCCAAGGCATTGGGGAAGGTGGGTGGGACAAGGGCTTCCAATTTTTCTTTTCTTTCCTTTTCTCCAGTTTCCAGGGGTTGGGAAGAGGGAGGTAGGAGGAAGCCGCTCCCAGCTGCCAAACAACGTCAGTACTTGGGGGTGGGGGACAGCCACTTGTCATCTTAGAAACACTGGTATGGAGAACAGTGTTCCGAGAATATTACTTGAATGGTTTTGATATCTGAGACATTGTTGGTTTTGCTGCTCCAAGGTTGAGGAATTCCTTCCAAGGTCCATTGGCTGACAGTCCATCCCAGTGCATCCACTCATCAGACACTTGTTGCCAAAAATGAGCCAAGACAGTTGTTGAACCCATTCTGTTCCCCATCTTCTGTCCTGGCACTCAGTGTTCTCTGCAGGCGTGCAGGTGCAGTGGCCTGGTCAGTCCTCCAGAAGTCACTCCTCACCTGTAACGTACTTCCTTAGTGGTCCCCCCCATACATATCCCCAAGTTCCTTCCCTGAGCAGTCCACACACCCATGCCCGTGAGCACACTGGTTCCTGAACCCGGTCTTCTGTGGGGTGACATGTGACTTGGTGCCCTGCCTGCCTGGGACCTGAGTCCATGGTGTGGGTCCCCAGGCTGGATCTGCCAGCACATTATGCTAGCACCCTGACCTGGGCCTGCCTTCCTGCCTGCATGGTCTGCTGCCGGCATGCCAGGATGCTGGCCTGTTCTCATCTTAAAGTTACTGAATTTTCATCTCTAGAAAGTTTTCTGCAGATTTGCCTTTTAAAAAATATAGTTTCTCTTGTTGCTTTTATCCTTCATTCCACTTTTCATTTCCAACTTGTGTGTCTTTAATTAAAATATTCAGTGTTGTAATTCTATCTACAGTTTATGTGAATCAGGATTTTTTTTTAGATTCACACCTTTGGTGTGGTTTGTGATTTCAGCAGTTTTTGTGAACATGTCTTGTGAACTTTTATGTATGTTAGTTGTTTAGCTACCCCATTAGAATTAGATTATTCAGGCATGTTTGCATTCTGATTTTGCCGTATGACTGGAGGCTTGCTTCACTGCTCGCTCTCTTGGCCCCACCTAAAACTAAAAAAAAAAAAAAAATTAAGATTTATTTTTATTGGAAAGTCATATATATATATGGAGAGAGAGAGAGAAAGAGAAGGAGAAACAAAGAGGAAGATCTTCCATCTGATGATTCACTCCCCAAGCAGCCACAATGGACAGAGCTGAGCCAATCTGAAGCCAAAAGCCCAGAGCCTCTTCCAGGTCTCCCAAGCAAATGTAGGGTCCCAGGGCTTTGGGCCGTCCTCGACTGCTTTCCCAGGCTACAAGCAGGGAGCTGGATGGGAAGTGGGGGCCACCAGAATTAGAACCGGTGCCCATATGTGATCTCAATGCTTGCAAGGAGAGGACTTTAGCTACTAGGCTACCGTGCCGGGCCATAAACTAAAAAATGTTAAGATTATTTGAAAGGTAAAGAAGCAGAAAGGAGGACAACACGCCACACTCCCTTACGTGCACACACACACATGCTCCATCTTTCACCTGCTGGTTCACTGCTCAAAAGGCTGCAACAGCTAGGACTGGGCCAGGCTTAAGCCAGGAGCCAAGAATGTGATCTGGGTATTCCACGTTGTAGGCAAGACTCCAGCACTGAGAACATCCTTCATCTTACACCTTTCCGATGCTTTGGCACTGTGGTTCAGTGCTGTCAGCTTAACCGTAATGCTCGCCTTTTAAAACTCAACCTTCCTTGAGTTGCCAAGCCTCGACTCCCTGTGGATACGAACTTGTCAGAAATTCCCGAAGGACAACTCTTCCTCCCCTATGCCCAGCCCAGGCCCTCAACACTGTCTTCCCCCAGTTAACCCTCCCAGTGTTGCCCTTTGGGGTTTCCAAGTGAATGTCCTGTCTTAGGCTTTTACCCATCTGGATTTTCACCTACTCCCATCAAATCTAGAAATTTTGACTGGCTAAGGTTATTTTAAAAGTGGTCTAAACTGCTCTGATCTTAGTATAGAAATAGAAAAGTACTTATTTTGGGGGCATTGCCCCAGTTACTGCTGGCATATTAATATTCTCTGTGTTAAGCTTAGTGTGTTGTCTCTATGAAATCTTTCACAGTTGACCCCCGAAGACTTCAGATGAGGGAATTGCCTTTATTTGTTTCTGCCTTCTCACAAGTTGCTGCTGTTTTAAGATTTATTTATTTCACTTGAAAGTCTGAGATATATAGACAGAAGGAGAGACACGCACCTGCTGGCTACAACGGCCAGAGCTGAACTGAGCTGAAGCTGGGAGCCTGGAGCTTTCTCTAGGACTCCATATGGCCCGGGACCATCTGCTGCTGCTTTCTTAGACCCTGAGCAGGGAGCTGGTTCGAAAGTGGAGTAGCTGGGACTTGAATTGGCACCCATATGGGATGTTGGTGCTGAGGCTAAGGATTAGCATGCTACGCCTATACCGGTCCCTTGGTACACTTTTTATAAGCATTTTGAACCAGTTCAACATTGAGAGGAGTCCTCCTGAGCACTTAGCCTGGCTGCCTTATAGAAATGGAAATCTGAGGTCTGTGTCTAATTGTCATAGACTTGCTTGTTTTTGAAAAGTGTCTTTGCCTTGGTGGTTATTCATTTCAGTGAACAGCAGAAAAATCAGTGGACTAGATTTTTTAACGTTTGTAGTGAATTTCTAAAATGTGCACTTATGAATTTTACTGTGACTGTAGATTCCTCTGTCTTCACAGTCAGAATAAAAAACAATCCTAGTACCTCTAAAGTCAGGTCTAACACCTGGCACCCTGTGCTGTTTTCCAGCTGCATAGTTTGCCTTTGCTGGAGTGCCATGGATGCGTTTGCACTGTATGGAACCCTGAGACTGGCTTTTTTCCATTCAGTGCTGAGCTTGGACGTCCATCCGTGTTGCTGATCATGTTAGTATTTTAGTCCTTGTTATTGCAAAGTATTATTCCATTGTAGGTCATTAGCATTATTTGCACTCGTTGGTGATTATAAATAGAACTTGTGTAGATATTTATGGATGGAATTTTCTTTCTTTTTGTCTTTGTTTCTGCCTTTCTTTCTTTCTAGATTTTATTCATTTATTTGAAAGAGTTACACATAGAGAGAGGGGGATAGAAACATCTTACATCCATTAATTCATTGCCCAGATGGCCACAGCAGCCAGTGTTGTGCTAGGCTGAAGCTAGGAGCCAGGGGCTTCTTCCGACTCTCAGACGTGTGTAGAGGGGACCCAAGCACTTCAGCAGGGAACTGAACGGAAAGTAGATAAACGAGTTCATGAACCAGTGCCCGTATAGGATACTGTTGTCACAGGTGGTGGCTTAAACCACTGCACCACCACACTGACCCCTGGATGGGTTTGTCTATGAGTATAGAATTTCTCCACAGTAGGTACCTAGTAGTAGGTTTGCTGGATTGAATATTAAGCATATATTTAATTATGTAAAACTGCCAGCTGAGTTTGTAGAGTATACCGCTTTGCATTGTTACTATGTAATTTCTAGTCACTTCATTTTCTTATCAGCACTTGGTATAATGTTTTGTTTCCTTTTCATTTGTTCTGTTTTTAAGCCTTCTAATAGTGTGTAGTGGCATCTTTTTGTAGTTGTATTTTGCATTTCCTTATTAGCTAATGATATTAAGGATTTTTCAAATATTGATACATTCTTGAATTTGCTATATTGTTAAATCTTTGTCATTTATTTGCAAGGCAGAGTTACAAGGAGAGAGACAAGACTTCTCTCATCTGCTGGTTCACTCCACATGTGACCACAATGGCCAGGCTGGACCAGGCCAAAACCAGGAACCTGGAACTCAATCCAGGTCTCCTCCCTGGTGGCAGGGGCCCAAATGCTTGGGCCGTCTTCTGCTACTTTCCCATTTGCATCACAGGGAACTGAATTGGGAGTGGAGCAGTTGGGACACGAACCTGCACCCAGATGGGGTGCCATCTTGTAGTCAGTGGCTTCACCCTCTTCACACCACATCACCGACCCCTGGGATTTTTTTTTTTTTATCTTGTATTACCTTTGTCTAATTGTGACATTAATGTAGTGCTGAGCTCAAAAAATGAGTTGAAAAGTTTTTCATCTTCGGTTTTCTAAAAAAACGCTGTGATATTTCTTTGTTTGGTCGAATTTGTAAGTGAAACCATCTAGGTCTGGAATTTTCTTTTCCAGAGTATTTTAAAGATTTATTTTTATTATTTTTTCATTGGAAAGGCGGATATACAGAGAGGAGAGACAGAG